GAGCAACAGCAGCAGCCGTACCAGCAGCAGCAGCAGCACCACCAGTACGAGCAGCAGCAGCAGCACCAGTACCCTCAGCAGCAAGAGCAATATCCGCCGCATCAACAGCAACAACAGCAGCATCAATACCAGCAACAGCAGCAGCACCAGTTCGCCTATCAGCAGGAGCGATACCCACAGCAGCAGGGCCAGCCGCCGCACCAGCAAATGCCCCCAGACTACCGGGTAAGTTTTGTGTTCTGCCATTTCGCATGCGTGCATCATGCCGCACCAGTAGCTGAAGTTGCATGTGCAGGAGATTCATATCCATATTTGTTTTTTCCTCTTCATCCGTCAGTTTATGTATCTTTCGCTGTCCTTACTCCATGTCTCGGCAGGGCTACCAGTCAAACAGTGCCATGGGGTCTGAAGCCTCTTTTGGGCTGGGCAACGAGGATCGCAACAGGCCCCTGCAGCAGCAGCGTAGCTTGCAGCAGCAGCCGCAGCAGCAAGTCGCGATGCCCGACACTCCAAGAGAACACGATGACTCGACACGTGGTCACACTGTTCTGTCAAGCAAGAAAAGAGCGTTGGGCCCATCGCAGATGTCTCAGGTAAAGTTCAGCGGCTCACACTCTTAGAAAGTGCAGGCTGGCTGTCCTTTTTCATATTTCAAAAGTGGTCATTTCATGTGCTGCCGAGGCTTCTTAAAAAGGGTTCCGAGCAGCAATGCACTTTTGCTGTGGTGCTATATCCCTCGGCATTCAGGCGGATCAGGCTCTGGCTGAACAGGCGGAGAAGCTGCGACAGGAGGCGCTGCTGTGTCGAGATAAGGCCAGATGCTGCAGTGGAGCGAAGCAGAGGCAATTGCTAAGTCTGGCTGAGCTGAAGGAACAGCGTGCAGCGGACGCCATCGCCCAGATGACGGAGTGCAGCCTTTACCTCCATCAGAGCAGTAGCGACAGTCTGCAGCAATCCCAGAAGCAGCAGGGCTACATGCAGCAGCATCAGATACAGCAACAAAGCGGCAGAAGGGCAGCGGGCGAGCACAGGGGAAGAGTGGACCCGCGTGGCAACTCTGGAATTTTCGACCAATGAAGGCTTGTTTGAATGGGACGTGACTGAATCCTAAATGGTGTTAGCCACGTCTCATGTGTTTGTGTTAGTACGTTGCATGTGTCCACAGTGTTACTTGCCTTTAGCAAGGTGCAGCCGTAGTCATGTATCCTTTTCATCGTGAAGACCACGTAGGGTTTACGCTTCGGGGTTTGAAACCCTTAGGCTTCTTAGCCATAGTGGGACGCCAAGAGAGATAAAACTCCGGCGCTCGTTTTTTTCCTCCCCGGGGGAAGCATTGTCCTAACGCGCCGGCTGGCAGCCTCCGACCGCACGGCGACGGAGTAGGGTTCTTGTTGGGGCCTCAGCTGAGCTGAGCTGGGCTAACAGCTCTTACGGAGGAAACACTACCGTTTGGCACTGCATTTGTATCTTCCCAAAGCTGACAAGACGGCGGAGGAACCTAGCTACACTACTCTCTTTTCAAGCACACTTTCTGAGCTGTTGATCTGTTCGTTTTGCATTTTTTGGTCAGGGAGAAACTCACGAAGTGTCCAAAATCCTTGCTCTAGTAAAGAATCCCCAAAATACCCCGCTGCTATTCGCGTTTCTGTTTCTAATTGCACGCATTTGACTGCAAGTATACCTTCGGAGCGGAAAATAGAAATCAGAGGGCGCCTTATGCAGTGGCGCTGTTCTTTTTCTTTGGTGTTCAGTGTTCTTAATCGGCTATCATAAAAGTACTCTGGCTATACACACGCTCAACTCCTTTCAGGTATGAATCAAAGTTTACGTTCCCAGTTTGGTGCATGCTGCTTTAATTCACGTGCGCATTGCGTAGCAAGTACAATTACTTATATCTGCATGATTTAGGGCTCAAGGCCTTGTTGCAAGGGGTTTTCGGCGAAGGAACTCGCCTCCGAAATTGCGGGACTGCGTATTGGACGCTTTTAAACTGTAGGGAGGGCTCTGTTGACTTGAGGGCCAGAGGGACACTTTTAATTCCCTGAGGTGCCGAAAGCGTCAACGTTGAGTCCGGCCTGCTTCTCTCAATGCGCATATCGTTTGATTTTTTCGGAAGCAAAGCTTCTGAGCAGGCGCCTCTCAAATGGAACGGTCGTCAAGCAAGCTTTCTGCAACTTCTGATGTTTCGGCGACCCTTTCGCTATTCGTGTTTTCAATTAATTAGTAATAGCAAATACATGTAAGTGTACTCTGGTTTATTTTGGCGTCTTATAAGATGATATTCAATACATACACAATCTACGTCATACACACACTATTTTCTCCATTTTCCGGTTGCTTGGTTTCGTGCGCTTTTTCGCCTCTCCGCAACATTATTATTATATCTACTTAATGTGTGAAAGCTCTTGCCACAATTTCGTAGTGCGTGTGTGGAAGAATAAACAGGAAATGGCAAATTTGATGCTCATCCACGTCAGCACTGAGGCGCTCAGCAATGCAGTTGAAACGGCACATAGAATACGACCTAGGTCCGATTCAATTTGTATATTTCTTCGATTTTTCTTTTGAAGAGGGAATTACTTGTTTTTGAAGGCTAATCTTTTGCAGAAATATACTAACGCAAAACAAAGTTTCCTGCTTGGCGGCGGAGACACAAACACTGCAAAAGAGGGGAAATACCTCAGACTGAGAAGAGCGTCAATTGAGTTTGCGAATTTGGGACACTTTGTGTTTCTTTGCCCTTTTTCGTTGCCTCTTTCCTCGTGGGTGGGGATTCCAGCTGGTGGTGCATTTCTGCAAACGGACAAAAAGCGGGAAGAAGTATCCGGAAACTAAGCTTTGCGACAACTAAACTTCTTTTGAAGTCATATTCTATTTTTGTAGTTTTTATGGTAAGGCTTGGGCGTGGAGTTCTTTACTCATTCAGCGGTGCGACGCTACGCCAGCCCAGTGGTTCTTTCTGGTGCTGTCTTCTATAGTAAGCTTCTGGAGGGAGGCTTGGCCCCGGAGATGGGCCCAATTCTGTTTATTTCCTTTTCTTTTAGTAAATGACGCTTAGAAAAGGAAAATAAGGGGGAAATTTTGCAGAAGAGAAGCAGAAGGTGCATTGCATTCGCCCGCCTCCCCTGGCAGCCTCCCACGTGCGCCAACAACCAACCCGTAACAAGGCTCGCTCCAGCAGTTGCAGCAGTTGCGTAAGCGTGAGTAGGAGACAGAACCCATAAAACAAGTTTTTATCCCACCATTTTTCTCGAGCTAGCCTAAGTAGGTGCTTGCTAGCCTGCCTACTCCGCCGGAAACACACGCCGTCCACACACGGACCGTCGTCGGCGCAGGTTGAGCGCAGCCGAACACCTCGGCGATGTAGAGCCAAACGCGAGCTGTACCGCACATAAACTGCATAATTCAGCTTTTATTTGCCTTTAGCTGAATAAATACGCAGAGACTAGGCCGAATTAGTACAGACACTATGCAGGCTGAGGGCGGGGGGCAGCGCCGCCCGCACGGCCCCTCCATCCGTAGGCACACCGGCCTGCTCTTTTGTTTGGGGGATTCTCTTAGCGGGGCTATATGTTGTTCGTTTGTTTTGCTTTAAAAGTCTTTTCTCTCTACACTGAGATTCAGCTGAGCTCTTTTTACGCGACGAAATAGCTGCCGCAGCAACCAAACTTCATTCCATCCTGCGACCCCCCAGCTCACCCTGGGTTGGGCCTTATGCCGGGGGCCGGCAGGAGCTCAGGTCTGCTACGTAAATACGCCTTTGGGTTCATTTTCTTCTTTCTTACATTCCAGCGCAGATTGAACAGGACGTGTACAATGCTTAGTCTCTCTCTCTGGCTGATTTAAAGGGCCTTCCCTCTCCCTACAACCGACACACGCAGGCAGCGCTTGGTGCCTTATTCTGCGACGGTCGGGGCGTTGTCGTGGCCATACTTTCTCTACTTCAACCCACCGCTTCCTCTAGATGTCATCACAGACCAGACAAGGCTCTGCAGACGCGTAGAGAAGACACATTTACACGGCCGCTTCTCTATTCTGGAAGAAGTGTAGCTGTCGCGGAGCTGAAGGTGGCGGCCGCCGCGGCCTGGCAGTTGGACCTTCGCCTCGTTGGCGGCACTTGACGGTTTTCAGGAAACGCTGTATAGCTGTTTCCTGTTTTATGCCTATCTTTTTATCACAGTCTAGCCAAACGGCGACAGAACTTCCAACGCCAGGACAACCACGCAACACCACCACCGCCTCCGTGAAGGGCTACGCCGCCTACAGCTGTGCAGCGTTGTAACACTTCTGTATTGCATTGTTACTGTCATCTTTCGCTAAATACATACGCTTTACGACGGAAGCTCTTCCAAGCTTTATCCGTTGACAAACCTCCCCACTAGCAGTCCTGCCGGCGTCATTCAGGTGTACATGCAGCTCAACTCACGCCGTCGCCGCAGCCGAAGCAAAGCGCATCAAGTGGAATTCTGCAGGTTGTTACTTAGTTACTTATTGTGCTGGTGTGACTCGAGCCATTTACTCTCCCGCTTGAGGTCCATAAAGATCCCAATCCCATCATTCACTCTCCCACCACCCCCCCACCTCTCTCCCCACCTTCCCTTGTTGCCAACTATATGGCAAAGCTATAGGGCCCCAAGTGCTCTAAGGTGTCTTTAGGCCTCTTGAGGCAGTTTTTTAGTTTGTTTTCCCTTCGTAACGGCGGCATCCTTTGCAATAGAATCAAGTGCAGCAACAGCACGCGGGCCGCGCTCCACACAGCCGCTTCCGCTGCTTCGCTCCAATTATATTTTGGTTACTTTTTTTTGGCCTCCGGCAGCAACGGTTGCTGCTGTTTTTATGCTGTCCCCTGCATTGACAGCTGGACGCCTCAACAAGTAGCAGCACATCCCAGCAGTATTCTGCAGCACCAAGCTGCCGCGGTGAGCCGCAGCAGCACGCTGCAGCAACAGCAGTGCCCTTCTTGAAGCCGCAGCGTCATTTTCTCCCCCAAGGCAGCAGCTATGATCAGCCTTCACCAGCTCTTCAGGGTGCTCTCACGCATCAGCTCGGACCCCTCTACCCCTTTCTATGCAGCTGCCTTACAGTCCCCAGTAGTCGGCACTCCAGGGGGAGTCCAAAGAGAGCTTTCAGGAACTCCAAGCCCCCTCAAAGGCCTGAAGCCTGCCTTTGACGCCCGGTTGCTTACCACCTGCACCACCACGGCCCCAGCACATGGGGCCCTCAGCCCCGGGGCCTGCGGCCTCGACGATTGTCTCTGCGATGAGGCAGACTGCAGCGCGTTTTCGCTTGGCAACAGCAGCAACAGCGGCAGCAGGACACTAGACGCCGACGACGGCTCCGCTGCTGCTTCTGTTCGTGCTACTTCCTCTGGAGACTCGAAGACCACGCACCAGAAGCTGGCAGTCTCTGCTGCTCATGACCTTCCATCCCAGATTTACAGCAGCAACAGCAACAGCCCTCGCACTGCTGCTGCTTCCCCTCTTGTCGCCCCGTTGTCCCTTAGCTCTACCCCTAGCTCTGCATCCAATGCTGTATGGGGGAGTCCTTTGCGAATGAGTCCTGTGGAGACTCCCGACGGCCTCTTAAGATCCTTCATGGGCTCTGAAGGCACTGCTGGCCCTTTTGCTGCTCGCGGGAGCCCGCAGCTTTGCCAGCAGCAGGAGCCGCAGAATCCGCTTATAGGGTCTACAGCAGGCGCAGCAGCTGATGCTGCTGCAGCCACAGCGGCTCTGCGGGAAATGCAGGAAGAAACTGATAGTGAACTATGTTTAGGAAGCTCCTACAGAGCAGCCCGGCGACAGCGGCGAAGGCCCTGGCCGCAGCAGACACCATGGGACAGCAGCGGCAGCCGAGGAGCAGCAGCAGCAGCAGCGTGCATTGTTCCTGCGGTGCAGCAGCACAAAAGTGAGGGGCGCATGCAGACCCGTCGAGGCGCAGCAGCAGCAGCAGGTCATCATAGTCCACCAAGGCCTGAGGATGAGACGGATATATTGCAGGGGATGATCGAGGGTCCCCGGCACTCTCGCCGTCGTCCCCCATCTTCAAGGACACACCAGCAGCGGATCCCCACAGCAGCAGCAGCAGCAGCAGCAGCAGCACCGGCAGCAACAGTATCGACAGCAGCGGGTGCCGTGCCTTTGCCGCTGGAGCCAATGGCGTGCGGCGAAGGCAGCATCGCCAGGGGAGCCCCTGCTGTGGGCTCCTCCCGGCTCTTGGGTGTGTGTTTCTCGCCGCCGAAGGATGTCTGGAGGGCCCGAATAACCGTCGAGGGAAAGCAATTCGAGCAGCAGTTTTCAGTCAAACGCCACGGCTACGACGGGGCACGCATGCTGGCTGCCCGGTGGCGCGCAGAGATGGAACATGCTAGGCTGCTGCGGCCCCTCGCCCTCCCCTAGGGCTCGCCGTTGCAGCTTAATTAACGTTGCAGCAAGGCTACGCTATGAAGTCATAGAATGCTAACGTCAACCCGAATCTCCACAGAGAAAGCCTCAGATTCGATTTTGAGGACAGAGGGATGCCCCTGGAAAGGGGGCAGGAGGGAGGGAGTCTCATGCATGCGGTACACTCCTCACTGGCATAGAGCGAGCAGCAGGGGGCCCCAGGTGCACCAAAGAGACTGGGAAACAAAACGCAATACGGGCCCCTCGCAGCCGAGGGGCCCTGCGTTTTGCTTTCTCCAGTTGCCCCCACTGCTCGTGCTGCTGGTGCAGCGTCAGCACCGCGCAGATATGAGAGATCCTCTTTGCTCCTGCGGCTGCTGCACAGATTCCAGGAGCCGTGCAGCAGACTTGAAACACTTGTTTTGTACCCGGCAGCAAAAGCAAGAGCTGTACGAGCAGCAGCAATAGTCTGTGGGTACGCTACGTTCAGACAGAAGAAAAGCAGAGTGGAGTTTCAGAGTCTCTACACCATCGCTAGGTGTAGTCTGCCAGCACGGGCTCAGTTTGCATATTGCTTTCCCGTCACCGTTGCTGCTACTGCTGGTAATAGTTCTGTCGGATGCACTTTGTTCCTAAAAGTAGATGAAGACGACTAGCCACTGCTGCTGCTTTCTGATGCTGCTGAGTCACGGTTCTGCACATTTCTTCGTTTCCGGCCTAGCTGTAGCCTTTCCCTGAGGGTTTGTCTGACGGCAACTGCTTCCCTTTGTCTCGCGAGCTTTCTGGCCGCCCGCCTGTGCACAGTGCAGCAACAGCAAAGTCGAACGCAGGCATCAGCAACGAATCAGGCTCCCCACAATCTCAGCAAGCCGTAGACTCAAAGTTCGCCGGCATGGGCTTTGCCTTACCTCCGAGCTCTGGGTGAGGCCCTCTCATAGATCGGAGAAGTTCTTGCGCTGCGCTTGCTGGATCTGCGTCTTTCCAGCTCTTCCCGGGTGGCATGCTGCTGCTGCAGAATGGGAGGCAACGAGGTGAGGAAGCTAATTCGGAGGCCCCGTTCCTTGACCCGGGGAGAAACTTTGAGACGCGCAGCAACAGAGGGCGGCATGTCAACAATAAACCCCCTGCTGCTAAGAGCTATGCGACCCAAAAGGGCCAACTGATGAGGATTAAGAGCCCCCCGAAGTAGTTCCATCAAATCACTGCGGGTCCGCAGCTCTGTGCCCATAGGGTCGTGGAACAGGATAGCTACACAATGCTGGCGCCCCGAGAGGCAAGAGACCCAAGACATGCGCTGCTGCCGCTGCAGCAGCAGACACAGCCCAGCTGCAAGCACACGAGGCCCCCAACGCTTCCACTGCGCAGCAGCAAAAGGCAGCAAAGGGCCGGAGTCCGCAGCAAAAGGAAAAGAAGTTATGTCCGATTCTGAACAGACACACAAAACGGCAACACCAACGCAGCAGCAAGAGCCCCGTCAAAGCAACAGCACAAAAACTTTCCCACGGCAGCACTGGTAGCTCCGACAACATGGAAGACACCGACAGCAAAAGCCCCAATGGCAAGGCAGCTAGCTGGCATTAGCAGCTGCGGTTGATTAGTCAAAATTGACTACTGCGCATTGTCTTAACCTACATCAGCTCGCAACATCTTATCGTAAATAAAGCAAAGGCTCACCGAGTCTTTCGAGCAGCTGTTGCTGGACGTCTGCTTCTGTTGGTGTCTTTGCGGGGCTGAAATGTATCTTGAGCTGCGATTCCAGTCTCCTCAGCTGTTGCCTCTGGGCCTCGTCATAAAGAACCACAACTTCACCGACCTCTCCGCCCCTGCCTGTCCGGCCCGCGCGGTGTATATACACCTCGGGAGACAATGGGGGCCCCCACTGAAGCACCATTTTGACTCCTGGGAAGTCAAGGCCCCTCGCGGCTAAGTCTGACGCTATGAGCACCGAGAATTTTTTGTCTCTGAAACGCAAGACGGTATGTCTTCTTTGGCGCTGAGACATGTCCGCGTGCAGTGGCTGCGCCGCTTGCTGCTGCAGTAGAGGATGAGCAGCAAGCCACGACACTTCGTCCCTGCTGCAGCAAAATATGATGCACTGAGCACCAGGAGGCAGTCGCTGCAGTAGAAGCAATGCCGCGCGGCGGCAGCGCTCCCCGAGTGCACGAGGAACCCGTGCAGCAAAGTGGGACACAGATGGAGAGAGTTCTGACCCTGAGAGGGCACTCAAGTCGATCACAACAGCCTCTTCGCTCGCTTTGTGCTGCTGCTGCTCCGACGGCGGCTGCCCCGTTGGTGATTTCTGTTCGGCTTGTTGCTCTTCCTGCTGCGGTGGAGAGTAGGTACCAAATGCATCTTGAAGAGGTTTGGAGAGCCACTTCGGGAAGGTCGCAGAGACTAAGATGGTCTGCCTATTAGGACTAAGTTGGGGCAGCAGAGCTGCCAAGGAAGCCTCAAAGGAAGGACCTACTAGCTTGTCAGCCTCGTCTAGCACCAAACACTGCAGTTGCTCCAGGTGCAGCAGCTCCCTAGCGACAGAGAGGGCTTCTATCCTTCCAGGAGTCCCGATTACAACGTGAGCTCCGCGCTGCTGCAGCAGTACCGGACCCAGTGCGGGCCCTCCCCGGGGGCCCCCGACAGCCACAATCACATGGCAATCAATGCTTCCGCGGAACCTGCGAAGCAGCAGCAACGGTGCCCACAGCAGCGTCATGGGTGTTAGCCAGAAATGCCAGTAGCAGGTGCAGCAGTTTACAGCAGTAGCAGCAGTATAGAAAGCAATAAGCAAACAATGATTTGTAAATGCGCAACTCGAGTGCCACTCGACGGCAGCTGAAGAACCACCCTTAGCAGCACCAACAAAACCAACGACAAAAGCAGCAGCGATGGCACAACCAGTGCAATTAGCTGTAGCAACAACGGGTGACACTGGCAGCAGCAAAGACGACGTGGGGAGATAGATGCACGGGAACCAGCAGCAACAACAGGGCGGCCAATCCAGCAACAGCAAAAACAGTAGCAGGACTTGTAGAATTGAGCAGCCACTTGTTCAGCGAGCTCCCTTGTCGGTGTGAGGATGAGTATGGGCTCCTCGCGGGGCCACTTCTGCTGCTGCAGCCGCTGCAGCAGCGGCAGCACATAAGCCAGGGTCTTCCCTGTGCCTGTGGGGGACCGAATCAAGGCATTTCGGCCTGCAGCAATGAATGTATCCGCAGCAGCAATGACACATCGACACAGTCTTTAACGAAAGGTATAGAAGTGTTGGCTCCACAGCAAGAGTCAGCGCAGCAGCAACTGCACGTATTCGTCGTCCTGCAGCAGGACCGTCTCCAGCTAGCTGCAGCTAGCAAAGAAGGATGTCTATGCAGCTACATAAACCTAGGGGCTGCCGTTGCAGCTGCTGCTGCTGTTGCTGCTGCCAGCCCAGGGCATCCCCACCTGCGAAGATGTGTGGAAAGGCTCTTTTCTGCACTTCCGTAAGAGTCTGCAGACTCTGGGCAGCGAGCGAGGCCTTCAGCGCTTTGCACAGTATGCCGTGCCTGCTGCTGCTCGCTCTGCTGCTGCTGCTGCTGCTACTGTCTGCTGTCCCAACGTCATTTTGTTCCGCTGCACCTGGAAGCGAGCCTCGCGTGTCTGCATTATCTGCTGCTGCGGATGCTGCTGAGGCTGCCGAAGGCGACGCCTTTGGGCCCCGGTGTTCCCTGCAAAACTTGTGGGGCCGTTCTGTTGCTGCTGCTGCTGCGGTTCTGCTTCTTTTTTCCGCTGCTGCTGCTGCTTCTGATGCGTTCGCTTTCTCCACAGCTGCTACAGAATGGCGTTTCTTGTTTGCCGCCAAGGGCTTTCTGGCACCCTGCACTGATGGGTGGAGGTACACATGGGCCTTCTGCTGCGGCTGCTTCTGAGGAGGCTCTTGTTCCTTCTGTTGCTGCTGTTCTTGCGGTTCCTGCAGTTGCCGTGGATGCCTCCGAATTCGAGGGACGCGAAGATCAGGTGGATGCAAGAACGCAGTTCCCGCAGGAGTTCTGCGCCGTGCTGCTTCAGGGGAACCGCAGCTGCTCGTGCTTGTGCGGCTAACGCTAGTGCTCCTGCTACTGCTGCTAGAAGCGCCGCTGCTGCTGCTGTGGCATTCACCGATGCTGCGGATGTGGCTTATTGAGCGTCCTATGCAGTTGCACAAGCACCCTGTGGGGAAGTTTGTCCTTGGCCAAACGGAAGACCCCGAAGCACTGGGTGTCCCCCGGTATTCCCCAGGAAATTCAGGGGTCGCCAACACTTGGGCTTTGTAGCCTAGAGTAGCATTGCTCTCTAATGGCCTTGCTGCTGCTGCCGCTGCTGCTGGAGCTACTTCTGGTAGTTGGGAATAGCAGCTTGCGGCTCCATGGCTGCGTACGGCAGTGAGGGCCGCTCTCAGGGGCCCTCTAAGGCCCCCAGAGCACGCCTGCAGGGCCATTACTTCACTTAGAAGGAAGATAATTTAAGTTGAGCTCTTGAGGTGCCCCTTGGGGCCTTTGTGGGGGCCCCTAAATCGAGACACAGCGGCCCTTACGGCCTGGCAAGATGTGTCTTGTGGGGCCTCTGCCATCTTAGATCAGTTTGTTTTGTCCCATTAAATTGCTAATTTTTGCATCTTATGCATTTTTTAAAAGCCCTATGCACGGGTTAAAGGGGCGTTGGCCCTCACTTAGGAGGCCCCGTTGCAGCGAGCTGCTGCGGCCTACATACCCACGCTCGACACTCCAGGAAGTGGGAACAGCTTGAAATACTTGTTGCAAGTACATCTATTTAAGTTTTCACGCTTACAGAACAGGGAATATAGAGTGCGGAGGAATCCTGAAGGCGCCCGGGCATGGGCACTTGAGGCAACCCGCACCTCGGGTCACTCACTCAACTAAGGGCTGCTGCAGCGTACCTTTGCTAAGGTACAGCTGGCAGCTAGCTGCTCCCAACTATTCTCTTTTAATAAACTGGTCGCTGCAGCTTATAGCTGGCTCGCCACCGAAGCACAAGTAACCAGGTCTCCGCGCAGCTTCTCCTGCAGGCTTCGCCAGCTGCTGTTTTCTGTGCCAGCCAGCTGACCTTTGCGCTACGTAGCTGGCTGCGCTCCAGTGCTCGCAGGCAACCAACTAGCTGCTCTCTTGGGTACGCTAGCCTACCAACTAGCTGGCCAGCTAGCGATCCGACGGCTGTCTGACTCTCAAAGAGTCAAGTTCTTGCCGCCTTACCGCCAGTGTGCTGTCTTGGCCTTACGGCGCTGTGGGGGAGGGCATGCGTCGTGCCTCTTAGTCGGTAAACCGAAACTCTAAAGCCTAAGATAGTCTCAGTACTAACTCATACAAAAAACCCTGTTCTGTATATAATTGCTCCGCTTCTAACTGCGTTTGTATCAACAAGTGCTCTCACACGCGCTGTAAGAGGTGGGCGGCCTGAGGAGAACCCCTTTGAAGTCATTGGCCCTGATTGCCACCTCTTCTGCTTCGTCGGCTGCTGCTTCTTCCAGTAACTCGGTGCCATCTTCCTTCAGCCTCTGCTGTTGCTTCAGAGTGAGGTACACGTACACGCGAGAGCTTTCTCGAAGCTCCTGCTGCTTCAGCTCTGACTGCAGCATCAGCTGCTGCTGCTGCCACTGCGGCACAAGCCCCCACGGAACTCTAATTAACCCGAACTGCCCAGGGGAGAGTCCCAAGCCAAGGATGGCCTGACGCATGCGCTGCAGCTGCTGCTGAGAAAAGCAACGGACTTCTTGAGGAATCTGCAGCAGCGCACATACACGCACACGCTTCTGTGGTTCTACTGTTATTGCTGCTGCAGATGCAGCTTTACTGTTATTGCTGCTGCAGATGCCGCTGCCGCCGCCGCCGTTGCTGCTGCTACAGCTGCTGCTGCTGTCTCAGCGGCTGCAAAGCACAATGGCTGCCACTCACCAGCATCTGTCGCTGCAGTGATTGCACGAGCTGAGACGTAAATACACCCAGACGTGCAACGCAATCCCATACAGCAGCCAATGCATGCGGTGGCAGCTCAGAGGCCCTCATGGCCAGGTGTTCGTACAGCAGGAACAAACCCTGCAGCGCAGCAAGAGAATAGACAGCAGTAGAACTTCTATAGTCGAGAGGCGCTTCTGCAGGGTCTCTGCAGTCTCGGCAGTAGCTGCTGCAGCGTTCGCGGCTGCAGAAGAGTGTGCAACAGCAAGCAACGCAACCACACGGAAGCGGCTGCACCTACCTGCCGATCTACGAAAGAATTGGCAGCAGCGCTTTCAAGTATCCACACCAAAGAATGCAGCAGCGGACGAGAAGCGCCAGAAGGTTCCTCAGTGGCCGCCGGTCCTGTTGCTGCTATTCCTGCTGCTGATACTACGTCTGCTTCCTCTACATTTCCGGCAGCACTTTGTGTGTCCTGCTGCTCAGCATGCTGCTGCGTTTGCAGTTTTTGCTCCTGCTGCTCATTGGACTGTCGCTCCACAGGCGGAAGTGCAGCCAGGGCATACGGCAGCAGGGCGCATGCATTCATATCGAGCCGCCTGAAGGCCCTTAGCAGGATGGCTAATTGGCATACGGAATACCGTTTCACACTGCCACCTGCCGCCTCTGCTGCGCTTCCTGCTGCTGCCGTGTCGGCTGCTGCTTCTGCAGCAGCTGTTGTTGCGATGAGCGCTGTTCCCGTATCTGCTGCTTTTTCTGGTGTTGTTCCTCCTTTTTCTGCTTCTTCTGCACCTGTTACTGCTGCTCCTTCCTCATCTCCGCAGCAGTAGGCCACGTGTCTCGGCACGTGGAAAAGAAGGGGTCCGTAGCGAAACCCCACAGCAGCAAAAGCATCAACAAGGCAGCAGACCGCCAAGGGAGTGAGTTGGCTGGCTAGCTGGCCTGCCCTCTCTCCTGCCTTCTCAAGCAGTTTAAATAACTCTTCCTGTGTCAGTCTCTCTTCTTGCTGCTGCTTCCGTTGCTCCTCCTGGCGGAAGTACTTGGTGAGAGAAGCAGCCACGAGGCAAAGGGCCTGCAAGTCGTAAGCCTGCATGCGTCGTGTTGCTGCATTTGCCGCTGCCTTTATAAAGGATGGAGAAGCTGCTTCTCCAGCCACGGCTGCATGCACAAGCATGGCGAGGTCCCTGGGCTGCATCCGCTGGTGCTGATGCTGCTTGTGCTGCTGTTGCTGCAGCAGCAGCAGCCGCCGTGCCGAAGCAACCAGCAACTGCAGCACGAACTGATTTCTGACCTGCAGCCGCGTGAGGGCATTTGCTGTCAAGGCAAGACCCTTGGAATCCAAAGACCCCACAAGCCGGCACAGTGCAGCAGAAAGAGCAGCAAGCAGCTTGCCGTCGTGCAGCTGCAGCACCCCAGCAGCATGCAGCGACACCACCAGGGCCCCTGGGGACAACGCATCCCTCTTAACTATGAGCTCCCTTCGCAAGACCCGCAGCAGAGGCCCTGGGGGGGCCCCCAAGCGGGCCAGAGAGGCAAAGGTAAAGGCTACTTGGTTGGCAGTCATAGAGGCTGCGTTTCGAGCGACTTCCCGCTGCAGCTGCTGCTGTAGCGCGGGGTGCACGCACAGCAGCTGGCCGTAGGCCTGGGCCACGCGGCAGACTGCAGCAGGAGAGAGCAGATGCAGCTGCGGCGCCAGTGCAGCAGCTGCTGCTGATAGAAACGAAGGGTGGCGTAGGCCCATAGAGCCAAAGGCAGACAGAATGCGGCACAAGTCCTCACCTGGCACGGAAGCAGCAATGGCTGCGCCGCGGCGAGCAAAGGCAGCCCACAGCTTCAAGTCCCGCTGTTGGTTCCTGGTGGAAAAAGGGGAAAAAAGCAGAAGAAAGAGACAAAGACAAACAAATAGCAAGCACGATTGTGAATGCAGCAAAGCCAAAGACAAACAATAAACATGCCCACGCAAAAGGGGTACAAGTAAATGTAAGTGGAGGCTCTTGGGGTCAGGAATGCCAGCGCTTCAACAGGAAACAAAGATGCAATGAGCAACAGCAGCAGCCACGCGGATCACAGCAGCAGCAGCAGCAGAGCACAACTATTTGGGCTGAGGAGGACTCACCTGGCTGCCTTTAGAATGCTGCGAGTCAAGACAAAAGGCGTCATGGTGGCTACATAGTGCCCATCTGCTGCTGCGCTTACATCTGTTGCATCTTCTGCTGCTGCTGCCTCTGTTGGCACACATCGCGCAGCAGCAGCAGGTCCGGCTACAGTTAAGGCAGCAGCAGGCGGGGCGCCTGATAACTCCCTGCGCTCCTTAAAGAAAGACACTGTGGAGGCTCTGTGCCCTTGGATGTGGTGCCCAAGGCGTCGAGGTGGCCTCCAGAGAGCTCCCCATCCCCAGGGGCCCCCATGCAGGGCTACAAAGGGGGCCCCCTTCAGAAGTTTCATGGACAGCCTTCAAAGCCAAACTGGGTAAGAAACTTGAGTAGGGAAGTTTCGTTGAGGGGCATGGGCAGGAGCCCCAGAAATGTCTCAAGACTACCGGGGCTTTGCGCGGGGATGTACAGCGAGCTGGAAGATGTGTGCGTAGGCGAAGAACGTAATTGCCTTAACAGGAAAGCCAAAGTTGGCTAAAAGCAGCAATTAAAATGTAAGGTGACTCATAACCAAGGTTGTACTTGAGGGCCCTGAGGGTTCTGCACGGGGGCCCCGTGGTTCATCGGGGCGTAGGGGACGGATGGCGTTGAAGAGCCTTTAAAGCAACCAATGTCTTGCAAAATTATTGCCTAATGACTATTTACTTGTGAAAAAATTAAGGCGAAACTTTTATTCATTGTTATTCGTGTTGCTGCCCAAGGCAGGACACAACAGAGGCCACAGGGGGGCCCCCACGGTGAGGCGCAGGCCCCTAAGTAGGGTGAACCCATTCTCTGCGGGACCTCTGGGTTGCGTTTGTTATACATTTCTAAATCAATTTATAAAAAAGCGGCGCTACATGCTTCTTGTTAAACCTTGCTGTTGAGGGCTCCTGCCTTTCCCTCTTGCAGACCCGCAGCAGTAGTTCCTGCTCCAGCGGTGCAGCAACGACCGCAGCAGCAGCAGGGGGGGGCAAAAACAGCACGCGTAACAAGATAAGCGGCAGCAGCAGCATTGAGCGGCGAAGGCAGCGCAACAAGAGCAACAGTCGTGAGGGTGAAAGGCCGCAGCAGCTTCCCGATCCCTCCTGCCGTCCCGATCCCTCCTGCCGATTAATCTGCGTGTGACGATGAGCAGCAGCAATAGCAGCAGCAGCAACACAGCAGCCAGCAGCAGCGGTGGCTCAGGGGCTCCCAGCAGCGCCGGTGTTGTCAGTGGAGGCCCCAGCTACCTACCCCTAGCCCTAGTAGACAAATGTGTGGGCTCTCGTGTTTGGGTTATAATGAAAGGAGACAAAGAAATCGCAGGAACCCTCAGGGGTTTCGACGACTATGTCAACATGGTGAGCTGTACATCCTGCACAGACGCAGCAGACGCAGTGCCGCCTGCTTCTCCTTTTGGCCAATCCCCTTGGGCCATTACGGCCCCAGGGCCACGCACAGCTTTGAGGGCCCCACACTGAAGATCCCATGGGCCCCACAACAACTCCTAGGCGGATTCTGTGAACTCTCCAGACTCTGTAGGAAAGCCAATTCCCCCAACTGGCCGCTGTTGGCATCGTGGTGTTTCGCAGCTGCTAGCACTTGAAGCTGTGTCTGCAGTGCCTCTTTCTCGCAGTAAATGCGTCTCTTCATGCGTTTACTCTGCACTCTGTGTGGCTTTACTCTCCCTTTTTGCCCACCACTTTGCTGCCTGCAGTGAGCTGCGCAGCAGTTGAAGCAGCATCTCTAGACACTGTTGAGGTCCAATCTCCCCAGTTAAAAAGCCCTGCAGCTACCTAGGGAGCAAAGCACCAAGCCAAGCTAGCTGCCCAGAGACTCAGCTAGCTAGCTGGCTAGCTAGCTGTCTAGCTGGCCAGGGAGTCACCTAGCTAGCTGGCTAGATAGCTGGTTCAGTGGTGCCCTGCACAGGAGAGCGTGCACATGGTGTGTTTGTGTCAGGTGCTGGACGACGTGACTGAGTTTTCATTCACAGCTCAAGGGGTGAAGAAAACTCACCTAGAGACAATTCTTTTAAACGGAAATAACGTCAGCATCTTGGTACCCGGAGGTGACCCTGAGGAGGCCCAAAACGCTTCGGCTCCTGCGGAGGCAGCGCGCAGCTAGCCACGAAAAGACATCACGCAGCAGCTGCGGCAGGAGCAGCAGCAGCAGCAGCGCAGATACCACATTGTAGCCACCGCCTAGGCTATGCTCGGTGTTGAGTAGCCTTTAATTCATTTGGAGATATTTGCACAAGATATTTGCACAAGGGAATTGCCTTTGGGCTAACTGAATTTCGTCTTGGGGCCATTTTGGGGCCCTGAAGTCAATCTTTCTTTGCCATATTGCTCCTCTCCGTCGGAGTCTCTATTCTTTTGTTTGGCCCCTTCTGCGTCTATGTGCTTTTTGCCTGTGGTGCCTCTGCCCTTGAAATAACGAAGTTCCGTCTAGGGGCTGTACAGCTCCGTGGGCGCAGAATCCGCTGTCGAAGAATGGGGCTTGGGAAAGAAAGAATACCTTACAGAGACGGAACCAGAGGTGCATGCACAGATAAAAGCAGAGAATAAACAGGTAGAGATAAGCGGAGGAAATTTAGTAGGAGCTAGTGGCGGGTGTCGGAAGCAGATAGAAACACATAGAAACAGTGACAGAGGTGCGCCAAGATATCAGGGACGCGACAAAGTGCCAAAAGCAAAAAATAAAAGAAGCTTGGAGAGGGTGACAGGCTCACTGGAAGAGACAAGGATAGGTCGCGTGCCTTCGAAAGACTTACAGTGTCAAATAACGTCCCTCCCTGTGTCTAGAAGTGCTTGTATTCCCTTCACGTTATGCTTTCTAACACTGCTTTGTGCTGCTACTGCATCACGTGGTCCTTTTTCGCCAGCAGCGAACAAGTCGGCGACTACGGAGTTTCAAACCTAGAGACTTTTCTTCCGGCTAGCTTTGCACAGGACTCGTTAGACGCTGCGGCCATGCCGGCCAACAATATTGACCAACATAAGACACTAGCTGTACTGGCCAGCCATACAGGCAGCTGGATAGCCAGCTACTCAGAAGGGGCTCCCGGGGCAGTTAGGCTTGACAGGGCTATGGACATGTGCAGCTTTACCAAAGAGAGCCGTTGTGCACCCTGTATCTGCAGCTGCGGCTGCATGGGCCTTCCTCGGAATGTCGCTTTAAAACAATATAAACATCAGGATGCCGGGCAGATGCACGCGCAACCCTAGTGCCTGTTTCCTATGCATGGACTCTTTGGCTGCTTGGCTTTCAGGCTTGCCGCCGCTTCTGCTGCAGTGACAACGGCCTGTGTGGCAGCTGTGTCTTGCCCCTCCGTGCAGAGCCAGAAACAGTAGCAGTAACTCAAAGGCGCCAAAATTAAAAGAGCCATGTGCATTTTCTGCTGCTCTAACAGCAGCAACCGGGCACTCTGTTTTCTGTTTCCTGTCAAATAAAACAAGAAAAAAATCGCCATAAATAGTTGGCAGCTTCATTTCCATCCATGTGTACGCACTCTCCAGATGTGCGCTGAAGCGTGGTATGCAGCGGCTATTGGGAGTCAGCCTCTTCCAGTTCTGCTTTACATGTGCCGGTGGTGCCGTGGCTCTCTCTGCTGTTGCCGCTCGCAGCAGCAGCTGTGTTAGCCACACTTGCTGCTGGCTGCTGCAGGGGTAGCAGCTTGATTGGCTACTTAGAGGCCCTGGCGCGTTTTGCAAGTGCGTCTTGCACGACTCTTGTGGTGATAACATCTTCGCAGGCAGTGTCGCTCTCAACGCGATAGCAGGTCTCGCTGAACTCAACTTGCTCGTCTTTGAAGCATGTGCCCATTTGAGGATTTTCTTGGGGTGTGCATTCCGTCACCCTAAAGTTGACTTCGCAGGGCTCCAGCTCTGTCTCAGCCACTACGGCCTCGCAGGGCTCTAACTCGTAGTATGGCACTGTCGTGCATTTCTAAGATGGCAGCACAAAAACCATACGGTATATAAAGTTCACAATACAAATAGATAGATATACAAACGAATGAATAAGCGCATTCGTGAACACAAGAGCAAGGGACCAATAAATGAATACATGGTTAAGCAAATAGGGAAAGGTATTGCCATATTGGGTAGTAGAAGTATGCTGGCCAGAAGAAAGGTGGGAAATGCTTTTAGACACATGGGGATAGAAGGATAGATGGGCGAATAGACAGAAAGGTACTTCTATGTGGGACTGGAGATTGGCATACATACATAGCTCTCATGTAACTGGATAAATAATGACAAACCAGAACAAGCCTCACACCAGCAGCGTCAAGCGACCACCGGAGAAGGAACAGACAGAAGCACTGACGGAAGAGAATTTGATTACAGTTCCATACAAAGCACCGACAACGACACAAAAAAGCTACAAGAGTATCTTTATCTTAAGCGGCAGCTGCAACTGACCTCCTCGAATACGATCTGCAGGCAGGGATATTCAATTTCCTGTTCTTTGATTTCAGTGCAGATTTCCGTGGAGGGCACATCAATGTCTTGGCAGACTTGCTTCTTGTACTTGCGAGTACATGGCACTTCTTGCGTCTCTTTGAGATTGGCGTCGCAGGTGGCGTCTACAAGAGAGCTGACCTCCACACAGACTTCCTTGGCGTACGTGCTAGTGCAGGGGAAGGAGTCGACCTTGGTCTCGAACTTGACCCCCTTTTTGGTTACCGTTTTGTTCACCTGCTGACACACGGTCTCCTCCACCCAGTCTTCGCACTCGGCCTGAACAGTGCGCGTCGACGGACTTTCGCAAGTCTTTTCCCGCACTTTCTCCACCATTGAGCATTGCTCCTGTGGTTCTGTTTGCATGCAGGGCTGTTGTTTTGTCACGGTCACTTCCCGCGTACAAGTGGACGGGACTGTCACCTGAAGACGGGCAGGAGGGAAACACAGTAACAGCAAAATTTAAGGCCAACAGCACAGAAAGCCACACATTTCGCATATACAGATTGATGAAGCGGGAAACAGCGCAGATGAATACAGAGATAAGCGTGCAACAGCAAGCGCTGTAGGTTTCACGAGAAAACAGAGCGGGCGTAATATATAGAGGACAAGGAAAAGAAGTAGAAGACAATGGCGAAAAAAGCAAAGGAAGGACGGGACGGTCCTCACCGTGGTTTCGTAGTCACAGAGTCTTCTTCTGCCGGATGATGCAGCTGCTGCTGCAGCTGGTGCCGGGCCCTCCTGCCCCTCAACCTCAGCTCTGAGGAAGCGTCTGGCGCCTTGACTGAAGCCACAAGCCTTCTTTATAATGCGGACTTCTGTCTTCTCGCATGGGTACTCCTCGGTGATCGTGACGGGGGCGTCGCACATGCGGGTCACCGGGACATCTACGGTGATGCAAACCTTGTCATAATAAGTCTCTGGGCAAGAGTAGAGGTCAACTGAACGGACGGTCTTGGGGCACATATTTTTCTTGCGCACAACCTCGCACTGCTGTTCGGGCTCCACGTCGTAGTATTCGTACACCACGGGCACCTTGGTCTCACGGGTGCAAGCGTCGTCTATGGCCACCAGGTTGGGAGAACACTCCGTCGTGGGCTCTACGCGACTGCAGGCATAGCTGAGCTGAATTTCTTTGGTCTCATGGCACGTCCAGGGGATCGACTCCTCCACAATGGTGCAGGATTTCTGCACGTGGTTGCGCTGGCACTCTGACTCCTTAGCCTTGTTCACCATGCCCACACAGGTCGTCTGTTGCGACTTGGGGACGCTGTAGCACAGTTGCTTGTTGCGCAACTTGGGGCACTGATAAGGCACCTTACGCTCCACGTCGCGGGGTCTCTTGGACTCCATAGGACGAGTAACCAATGTACAAACTTCAGGGTAGAACTCAAGGCTGCAAGGATAAGCTGTCTGCTTCAGCTCCTTGCGGGCGCACTCATAGGGGCGTGCGACAGGCACCTGAGCGCAGGTCTGACTGTCCAACACCTCCACCAGACCGGAGTCTTCCTCAGGAACAGCCTCCCTGGCAGCAGCTACTCCAGCTTTCTTTGAAATGATGGTATCAATGAACTCCTGAGGTGACTTGCTGTTGCTGCTGGCGCGCTTGTCTAGATACTGCAGCAGCAGTTCCGCGTTGGAGGGTGATGTTGAGCTGGCCCCGGTAACTGCACCTTCTGGAGCAGCAGGAGGACTGGAAGCTCCCGCAGAACCGGCAGCCTGAGGAGCGCGGCCTCGGCCATTGGCTGGACGGGCGGCGTCCCTGCCTGCGGCTGGAGTGCTCAGGATGGTATTCAAACGTTCTCGGATGCTATTACTTCGCTCAGGCCTGCTGGGTGCAGACTGAGAAACTGAGAGTAAAGCTAGAGTCCCCAAAAAAAGCGACAAGCAGACGCGGAAGTGAGTCTTGGGTGCTCTCATTGTGCGATGATAGACTTGCGATGTGTCAAGGGGGAGGCAACCGACTGAGTGAAGCTCTTCGACTTAAACACACACAATCAATCGATTTTTAAACCTCCCGGTTAAAAAATTGATGCAAAAGATGACAAAAACACACAATTTTTTAAAATAGGCTGAGGTTTTCACCGTGAACAGACAGCCGCCGCGCTGCCGACCGCCAGTCATTGCACTTTGCAGCCGCTGTTCTCTGGTGGTCCTCTCAGTCTTCTCTCACCTCTGCAGTTTCATTGTTTTCCTTAATGGACCAATTGAAACTTTACTTATTTATAAGCTCGGCTTGAAACATATTCGTAATGAAGCGTCACGTTTTATGGCTCGCTCATGCTCACTACTGCTGACCATTGCTCAGATTCTGGTCTGTCAGCGAAAGTCACGGAAGGTACGACGGCTAGTTAGGCTTGAAACTCGGGCAGATCCTTTCGCTTGAACTGTTTTAGATTTTTTACTTCTGACTGTTCAATCCAAACTGCAAAGGCTGGCTAGAACCGGGGCTATTGAGCAGACAAGCCATTTCCGGTTCAGTCTGTCCACCTGCATCCGCTCGTCGGTGTGTTTAGAAGCTCTCTAAGGTATTTATGCGTTAGCTCTATACTGGTTCACCGTTTTTAGCAAAAATTTGAAAAACAGCTTTTGAGCGAAGAACCTGTTATGTTCTTTGTACATCTGGGAGAGCCGGGCTTTCTGTCGTCAGGTGACCCTGCACCGAACCACTGGACGAAGACAGTTAGAACGAGGGAAGCCTGCTGTCTACATACTCCGTGAAAAGGGACAGGCGTGCTTATGCTATTGAGAAAGGGCGAAGTCTAAGCATTATTGCCCTCTGGAGAGAACGTGTGGCTTCTTAGTTTGAACCACTGGGGAAGTGCATTGACATGCATTGTTGTTCAGGGGAGGAATTCAGGTTCATGATACTCTACTCATTTCGCTTCCTGATCCTAAAGTTTCATAAGATAGCTCGTAGTGCAGGGCTGTGTGGAATCCTGGCCCAGACAGTCGGCATCAGTTCACGCAGCAAGAGTGATTCAGCTCTGTGACTCACAGAAAAAGACCTCATGAAATAAGTCTGCAGTGTATGTAACGTTTGCATGGACGGACCTCAATAAATTTCATTCGTTTTAAGCTACAAAGGACCAGCCATTATTGCTTTATTGTGTAGGTGTGTTGGAACTCCAGCCATGTTCGCGGTTCCACCGAGAAGCTTTGAGTGGAGAAAACCAGAAAGATAGTCACGGCAAACGAGGAAGGCAGGAATAGCGGCAAAATGAGAAACACTCGGGTCCGCCTGCACGGCTGCCCCAGTTGTTTACAATTGGGACCAAACTCGTCTTGAATGTTGCTTCTATATACTTTTAAGCCTGAGTGGATTTTTGCTTTCCCATTGTGCACTACTGGCGGAATTATTCCACCTCAGGAATGTTGGAGAGGCCGTAGCCAAAGTGGTGCAGGCACTGTGAATATTTTATGGTCACAAATGACAATGTACAGGGATTTTTCAGAATTGTCGGTAACCAGCTTCCGCTGGTTACCGACAGTTTCTCAACTTCAAAAGATTGGGCTAAAGCCTGCCTTCAAATTCTAGCTTGCTTCTAAGAACTATGCTTGTGCAGCATTTTACTCAGTCGGCACTCTTTTTGAGCCGTTGTGAGCTCTCCACGGACTTAAATTGTGCTGAACTAGTTTAGAGCTGCGTGCCTACCTACGCACTGCAGCCCAGGCTCGTCACGTCCGTAGGGGAGAGAGAAGGCAGCATAGCGTTACAGACACAGCAGATATGCTTCTCGTTGTTTTCTCGGTAGATTATTTTCGTGTTGCATAGAACTCCAGACACGACTTAGCGGCGAGCAAGCCTGAGCGGAACTGCAAAGTAATCCTCAGGGGCTCGTCCAAAGCAGTAGCTGAAGAACTGACGGCACGAAGTGCAAACATAGGATAGTAGGAACATGAAATACGCCTGAGTTGTTCATTTACGACCAATGACCTGCTAAATACGTGCTGTGCAGAGGTCACCTCCAGCTTGCTAGCAGGGAGGTGCACACAAGGACACCAAGGAGAAACAGCGGGTGAAACTATCGAGTAAAACTTACTGATGCAAATAGCACTCATACACATGCATTGTCCAAGTGACCCCACAGCTAGAAAGCGTTCTTTGAATTGCCACGGCGTCGCCGTATTTGCGCAAATGGTGCCCAGTACTCCTGGTGTTTAACATGGGAGCTGTCCTGACCCTGTTACATTTTCACTGCCAGCATGCATCCTTCACATCGAGGGAGAAGATCGGAACAACGCAATAATTTGTATTCAGACACGTTTAAATGGACAGCGAGCGGCCAGATGGCCTCCTGCAGTTGTCGAGTTGGTGCTGCTGTTGCTGCTGTTACTCTCTCTGCGAAGGGTCTTGCACTTGCAAAACCGTAGTGCAGCTTGGGAAGACTGGGCTTCAAGATTTTGAAGGGGACTTCAAATGTTGCCCCAACAGAATGGCAAGACACCAGTATGATGCGTCGATCCGTGTGGACCACTAGCAGCCCCTTGGTGGTGCTGCGGCTGACGCTACTATCGCAGACATGAGGTGCCAATCTAGCAAAAGTATGTTCTTATCGTTTGTCGAAATGCTTTGAATTTTTTTTAATGGGGGGAGTCGCTCAGCTTCCGGAGCCGTAGTAGAGGATTATTGCGCCTCTGCAGCAGCAGCAGCAGTTCCAGCAGCATCCATCTCCTGCTTGTGCAAGTAAAAGGTACAATTTCTTGGCGTGTCTGCGTTATCGTTGTCCCCCCAGATTTCGAGGTTTGAGCTTTCTCACTCTAGATATTGGAGCTCCAACCGCCTAGTAGCACCAGCGGGGGATTGATTGCCGAAAGCAAGAACAAGGATAGCAGCAGTTTCAACAGGAGCTGCAGCATCTGCAGGAATTACAATATAGGCGATGCAGCAGTGCCTCTGCGTCGGCTTCCTGCTGCAGTAGGTGTCATCCTTTTGTCTAGAAGACGTGCTAGACTCCATTGCCGCTTTTGCCGCAGTTGCGGGTAGGCTGTGGCGGCTTCACCGCTTACTTGGCTGAGATGCAAGGACTCAAGCAGCAGTTGGTGCAGCAAGTCCTGCAGCAAATGCTGCAACAGCAGATGTGGCGGCAGCAGCTGCTGTGGCAGAAGCAGCAAACGCTCAAAGCCACGCTGCAGGAAACGCTGCGGCAAGTTGTGGCATTGGTGATGTGGGGCTTCAGCAGCAATAGCAGCAATAGCGCTTTCACTCGCTGCAGCAAGCAGGTGGCAGAGGGAACTTTTTGCACAGTCATTCTTGTAAATTTTGGCAATGAGAACTTGTTTGTTGAGTGGCGAGCAGCCCTGCCACCCGAGCAGCAAGAGCAGCAACAGCAACAGAAACAGCAGCCCGCTTTTCCTGGCAATGTTGTTACCGGATTTGTGGCTGCGAGCTATGCAGCTTTTTTGCTGGCTCTGTCAAGTCTTACAGTGTCACAGCTGCATTTCGTAATGAAGCGGGTAGTGCTGCAGCAGCAGCATCAGCGGCAGCAGGCAGATCCGCGCTCCTTCATTAGCATGAAAGGCGAGACGACGTCAGATGCATCGGCGAAAGCAGTTTCAAGATTAACAGCAAATGCAGCTGCAGCAAGACCAGCGATAGCAGCAAAATGTACTGCCCGGGTCAGCAGCGTCGGCGTTGCAGTTAGGCAACCGCAGCAAGTACAGCAACAACAGAAAAACGAACAGCAGCAGCATCAAGAGCCTCATGCGCCTCTGGTAGATGCACATGTGCATGGTTGTGTCGCCTTGAGTCGTCATTTCGCATGCGCTTCGCAGCAACCTCTACACGAGCAGCATAAACAGAAGCAGCAGCAGCGACAGGGACGTACAGGCGGACAGCAGCCGGAGAGGTGTGCTGTGTCAGTTGTATCTGGCTCGGGATTGAAGTCAGCTCCTCGTATTTTTGCTGCAGCTGCTCTTCTGCTGCCTCTCTTCTGCCTTCCTGCCACAACACCCGCAGAGGCAGCAGCAGTAAGCACTCTGGCAGAGCTGCCATCTGCAAGACTCGTCTTGGCGAAGACAGCAGCAGGCGCTGCAGCAGCAGAAGGGGAAAGGTTCTGCCAAGCGTATGGTGGGCTCGCTGCTGAGTCGCTAATCTTCGCAGCAGCAACAAGAAGTACAAGGCCATCATCAGCAGCAGTAGTACTTAATGCCGCCGCTGACTCTGGTGCTCGTGCTTTCACAGTTGCGAAGGGAGGGCAGAACAACTCTAGGGAACATAGCCTGCTGCAAGCTCAGCAAAAACCACAGCAAGATAGTGAAGAAGAACAGTCCGCGGCTTCCGCTGATTCCGCTGCTACTGCTGGTGGGGAAGCTGCGTGCGAGCCTTGGCTTTCCAGCGGCGAGACCCCTGTGTGTCTGCTGCAGTTTCCTCTCAGCGCAGACAATGCGGCAGCAGTGGCTCTCATAGCTGTTCTCTGTGTTTTCGGCATTATTCACTTGATGCGAATATCTGCTGGTTTTATCAAAGGCTGTCAGTGCCGACTGTGCAAAGGAGACTACACTCTTGTTAGAAAGGTATAGTGCTGATGCTTCTGCTGTCATTGCAACGGCTGCTGTTGTTGCGGCTGTTGCTGGTACTGTTGTTTAACGTAGCATACTGAGCCGAAGCTGCTGCCCAGCGTCTTTTCGGCGTTGATGTTCTTTTGGGGTGCAGCTGCTTCTGTGGCCCCGCCCTGTTCATGATGCAGCGTCAAAAGCCTTCGCAAATGTTTGCCTTATATTAGGTGCAGACACTTATGTCTCTATGATTTGTGTATAATTATTGTTCGCTCGCGCGGCATATTGCGGCCGCCTTTCTACTGCTGTTGCTGGAAGGCTGAAGCGGCTTTGCATTCGCTTCTTGTGGACCCGATGCACCTTCTGCATCTATTGCTGTCCGTGTCTTCGCAGCTAGGTCGTGGAGGCTACGGGACTGTGTGGCTAGCCCGCCTGCGTCGCCGCGCTGCTGCAGAAAGCTCTGCGACCCCTTTTGTTGTGTTGAAAAAAATTGCTGTGGCTGACATAACAGCTGCCGACAGTTACCAGCAGGAAGCTCGAAGATTGGCACATCTGATGCATAAGTTTGTTGTGCGCAAGCTGCTGTGATTGTGCCGTTTCACGGCGCTGTGTTGGTGCTGGCGCTACTGATGCTATTTTTACTGCAGCAGGCGCTGGTGGTCCCGCTGAGGGGCAGAGGGATCTGCCGCTGCTTCTTCTTTGCCATTGTTGCTGACAACATGGCAGATGACACTGTTGCCCCCCTATTGTTGCGTATTTTTTTTGTAGGGTCGTTCTTGCTTTTGAGGCTGTTGCTGCTGCTACAGGTGGGCTACGTTGGAGAGTTTATACACCAGGAGCCTTCGTTCGGCCGTGTGGAACGTCAGACGTATTTCATGCTGTTGATGGAGTTTTGCCCCCTCGGCGATTTGAAGAGACTCATAGAACGCCGGTACAGAGCCCTTACGGAGCGCAGAGTGAGAGATACACCCCACGAGCTCAACTTCCTGCAGCAGCATCAACTGCAGACGCAGCAGTAGCACCACCTAAGTTAGTTGCACTTGCAGGAGTAGCAGGAAGTGCACCGGCGATGTCAACGGTAATGGCAGTAATTGCATTGGCAATAAAAACTACAGCTGCTGCAACAGAAACAGTAACGGCCGCGGCGCTTGCACCAGCTGCAGTCGCAGCAGCTGCAGCAGTCACGGTCAAAGCAGCAAGATCGGCGCCCCTTACCAGTGGCATTTCATGGCTTTGCGTTGCCGCAGATCCGCCGTTGGCTTTTCCAATTAGTGCAGGCCGTCCATTACCTACACGAAAGGAATATACTGCACAGGTGCACTAAGTGAAACACGCGTCAGCAAAGCCACGTGAAGCATCGCCGGAACCAGTCTAGCAGACAGGAAGAGAGTTTGACTGCCTGAGAGTTGAAGAGGGTTATCCTTGGACACACAACACCATCTGCTTGTCGCATTTTTCGTTGCTGCTGCTAGTTGCTTGCTCTGCTCCTTTGAGAAGCGCACTAGCCTGTTGCGTTTCTGCCTGTGGTGCTGCTGCTGCAGAGACATAAAAAGCCAAAATGTGTTTTTGTCCGAAGACTCTCATATTCGTCTGGGGGATTTCGGCCTCTGTCGCTTTGCTTCGCCCCCCAAAGTAAGCATGCAGCAGCATTCGGTCGTGAAGTTGATTGACTCTAGCACGCTGACGCAGCAGGAGGAGTGGCAGCAGCTGCGGTTGCAGCAGTTGCAGATGCAACGGAGCGCTGATACGTCACCTGAGAGAATAGATGAGCAGCAGGGCCCGTCGCCGCTGGCTGCTGCTGACGCTGCTGACGCTACTTCACAGAAGCAGAGCACAGGAGGCGGCTTTGCTGAAACAGGACAGAACTCGCAGCTCCAGCAGCTGCAACTTCATCATCGCAAGGTGGTGGAAGCAAAATCAGGGAGAGGAGGCACGCTGTGGCTCGCATCTACACGGACTCTGAGCAAAGTGTGCAATGTGCTTTTTTATCCCGTTTCGCTTCTGCTGCAGCTTATCCGAAGCAGCAGCATAGGCCTCAACCTCAGCAGCAGGAGGCGCAGCGAACGCGGCAGGGGTGAATGGTGCAGCAGAGAGTCCACTTGCAGCGACGGCAAGGGTAGCGTGTACACATGCACCAGAAATGCGGCAACAGGGGGAGGTGCAGATACACCTGGCAATAGTTCCTTGCTATCGGTAGCTGGCACAGACTGCTACATGGCCCCTGAGGTCATTCTAGGAGCCAAATACGGAAAGCCAGTAGGCGTGGAACAACTTCGTGCTGCTGTGTTAGTCTTGGCATGCGTCTGTTCGTATTCTTGGCTAATTTTCTACGAACTTACCTTTCGCTCTGTGCTCGCCGTCAGCTCTGCTTCAGTGCCCGTTTGTGTTTTCCTTTTTTCTAGGCTTGTGCGTATATTTATCGTATTTCTGTGTTTATCATTGTTTGGGTTTGTGTGTGCGGCGGCCTTGCCTTCTGTTTGCTTGTGTATTCAGGCCGACATCTGGAGTTTAGGCTGTGTCATGCTGGAGTTGTGCGGGGGTGTTTTCATGTGGGAGCTCACAAGTCCGCCATCTCATTTGCTACTACAGGATGATAGCCCCCAGCAGCAAGAGCAACTCGATTTGCTGCTAGATTCTCTGCTGCCGAAGAGGGTCATCGGGTGCGGCACCAAAAGTATCATCAAAATGCTCCTACAAAAGGGTACAGCTGATGAGCCTACCGTTGCTTTACTAGATAGATCTGTTATTCGTGCGTTTTGTGCTTTTGAGGCTGCTGTAACGAATGCTGGTGCACGTGGAAGTGAGGATGGCGTGGCGACCACTGATGTCGGTAACTAACGCTGCTATCGTTTACTGCTGCCGCTGTAGCTGTTGAGGAGGGTGGCCAATGTTGGCGTATCTTGCTTAAATTGTTGCTTTTTGTATCTGTACGAGTTCACCTGTTGGATGTCAGCAAAGTGTCGGCATCGTCACACTTTGGTTCTGCTGCTGGTGCTGTTGCTACTGTTGCAGATGCGGCTCAAAGGCCCACTGCTGCACAGTTGATGAAGGATAAATATTTTAGAAGGGATTATCGGTGCTGCAGCGAGCCGTTCGCGACGTCTCCGTCTCTCACGCTGCAGCAGCCTGAGCAGCCTGGGCAGTACCCCGATGCGAACCTTTCTGCACCGGGTAAGCCTGGGGCCCATCAAGTTTTTCGTTCCTCCTGCCGCTGTCGTGGCAGCTGTCTTTATAGTTTCTGCTTTTGTTGCAGCTTTCGTTACTTGCCTTTTTGTGCTGTGTGAGTAACTTGGACAGCGGCAGCTGGGGAGAAGCAAGTAGAGCTCGACCTGTCTACCGTGGAGGCTTCCAGCTGGGCCTCTGTTTATTTGCGCAAGACAGGAGTGGCACTTTGTGGCGACAGAGAATTGACAAAAAGTTGTCACTCGTCCCCTTCATCAGCTCTTCCCTCTGTCCATTTGCCAGCAGAATCCACAGAAGACAGTCTGTCTGCTGCAGACTACACTTCTCCTTTTGCGGCTTCTGCGGCCGTGGCGCCTGCTCATATCACGGCTGCGATGGCTGCAGCTGCGGAGGCGGAAGCAATTCATGGGGTGCAAGACAAACAAAAGAGTGAGCAACGAGTGCGGCAAAGGAGAAAGCACCACAGAACAACGGCGGCGGCAGCGGCGGTGGCAGCAGCAGCTGCAGCAGCAGTTGAAGAAACGGCAACGAGGCGTGCTGCAGCTGCAGCTGCCAAGGCAGCCGCAGCGACTGTTGCATCCATACCAACCAGGTTCAAGCTGTTGAAAAATCGGCGAGCAACAGCAGATTCAGCCGCGGAAAAGGCGGTGAAAGCCACAGCTAGAGCAGCGGCAAGGGCTGCTCCAGGCCTCTTGAACAGTGCAGACTCTCGCCCAAAGTGATTGCACATTTTCGTCGTGCGTTGTTTTGTACCCCAGTGCTCATCCGTATCGCTGCGAATTCATAAATTCGTATGTAGTATGCAACTATGTCCACAATATTGGCATCATAATGCTATGGGTGACTGTAAATTTATGCAAAGCCGCTTTACGGAAACCAAGTATACACGCATAAACACGAGCAAATCCACGCATGCTTGTCACTGGAATTTCGCAGCCATACGTTTATGTAATTTTGCATGGGCAAGGTTTTTTGGAATACTTGCACTTGAATATGCACGTACGAACAGGTGTTCGAACTTCTTGTGTATCTTTCTGTGCCTCGGAGAGATACTTCACGGGAGCATCTGCATCTACAGCTGCGCCCACGCGTGTATGTGTTAATATATATATATATATATACATATATACATTTGTACATATTAACGTACATACTTTGAGCATTTTGATGTTTGGCATATATAACGTCTGTATTTGTTTTGTACGTACTAATACACGTACATGCCTGAGTACCGTAAATTGGTCTCTACACAGTGTGCGCATGCAATGTATGTACGTATCTTTTTGCATATGCATTTGCAGACAGATGTTTATACACAAACATAAATATAAACTTTTGTACATACATATACAGACACGCACATGCAAATATCGGTATCGGATTCCGTGCTTTTTGTCTGACTTTTGGCTACTGACGCGCTTCGCGAAGTGTCAATTCCAGTCTCGCATAACCGACCCAATAGAAACAAACTGTATGTTTAGATGTTTAGAATAGAATCAAAACAATGAATGTACACACATGAAGTCTGTGCATGGAGCAGTATCTTTTGTTCCTGCGCATAAACTAGCTGCGCCACCCTAGCACACGTCTGTAGTGGTGCTCCTGTGTAGCTGTGCTGCGTTGGCCAGATGCGACAAGCAAATTAGTAGCTACATTTTCAGCTATGCAGTTTCCTAGCTTGGTGGAAACAAGCGACTAAGGTGGACAATATGCCTCGCCGAGAAATGGCGAGCTACCCAGGTATCTACATAGAGAACTGCCTGAGCGCAGCTGCAGGCGTTGCTTGGAAGACATCAAATGACTAGAATCGCGTAGTGATTACCCGAGAAAACGGCCAAGTGAAATTACTTCAATACAACGGTTGCCACTGTTGAAGATGCGTATGCAGCCGGCAGACTGCCTGGTACTGCCACTGGCTGCTGCTGCGGCAAAATACTGAGGCAAGACGGTGCCGCAGCAAGGTGCTGCGTTGCCTATGAAGTGCAGCGGTTGCACGCTGCTATCTGCAGTGTTCCCTTTACCTGCGTTTATACCTTTTCTTGGACTTGAAGCTGCCACTGCCTACCGGGGTGCCCCGTCTCTTTTTCTGCGCCGGCCCGACTGATTTGTCCACTCCACTAACTTTGCTGTTGTTGCCGCTGCTTCTTTCAATTTCTTCTCTCCTCCGCTTCTTCTTCTGTGGCTTCCGACTCCGTGGGCGTCTGGAGCCGCCTAAGTAGTCCTCGTCCACTTCTGTGTCAATGCGCAACCGCTGAGGCCTAGCGTTCCTGTAGCAGTGATAGCAGCAATACCCGCAGAAGCGATAACAGAGCAAGCAGGCAGTTCAGGGCCACCAAATTTGGATTATGTCAGCGTTGCCACAGTTACACGCAAGAATCCGACAACGAGTCAGTAGTGCTTCGATGCTTCAGCTGCTGCTCGTCTCCTGAGCTCACTTCTTAACGGATCGCGCTGCTGCCTTCGCCATGCGGAATTCCTGCATCCTCTGAGTCGCAAAAATGACAAGATACTCACGGGCCACTGCCGCTTTAGCTTTGGCTGCTGCTCTCCTTGGCGAAACAGCAAGAGAAGTCCCTGCTTCAACCTTCGTTTCCGCTTTGTTGTGTGTAACTTCTGCAGCTGTCAATGGTTTCTAGAGAAGTGCAGCACAACTTACTTCCTTTTGTCTTGGAGTCATAGTCTGGTGCTTCTTCTCCTTTTTCTGCAGTTGCTGCTGCTGCTGTTGCAGCCTAGCCTTCTGCTCCTTCGTCACTTTAATTTCCTTCACCTTCACAAGGGCCTTCGGCTCACTCGAGGACGTCTTTTCAGCGCCCTCTAGATCTTCCTCTTCTTCCTCACTACCAACAGACTCAGCCGTGGCCCACTCGGGAAGCTCTAAAATAGAAGCGCACACCATTAAAGTTTTGTCGCTGTTGCTGCTGCCTACAGCGATGTTTCTCTGCTTCTGAAGGCTTTTACTCTGGTTGCTTACCCTCTTCACTCTCTTCTTCTTCTTCGCCTCCTGAGCTGCTGTCGGCTGCATCACTGCTGTCTGATTCAGTTGTGTCCTGTTGCTGTTGCTGCCTGTGCTTCTGCTTCTGCTTCGTATCTTTTGTTGCCTCCTTTGAGTCGGTGCTACTGCTGTTGCTTATTAGGGCCCTTGCCTCCGCGTCTATTCGAGAAGCTTCTTGCAACTTCCGCTTGTCGCCTGCACTGACGAACCACTCGCGGTGAGGACGAGAGTAAATTTCATCTGCGACAAAAGATGCACCAGCAAGACAGCCTGCAAGCCAGGGCCACTGCAGCAGTAGCAGGTTTGAACTCCTACATTAGTCTGTCCTTTTGTTGCAGCGCTTCTCTAATTTCTGCTCTTCCTCTGTCCTTTCCCGTGTCTGCGTCTCTGCCGCATACCCGCATGCTGCTGTATATTGTTTGCCTTTGCAATAAAGATCTCTGCCAGCCTCATTTCCCTCTCCAGTGTCTCTTCCTGCCGTTTCTTCTGTAGGGCCCCTTCCAGGCCTCGCAGCTGTGGACAGGAACAGCCAAACAAATCACTGCCTGCTACTGCAGCTCCGCCCACGCCCACTGCTACTGGGTTGGAGTGATTTCCCGAAACGGTAGAAATAAGAGACAACATTGTAGCGAATAAGCGGAGGCGAATGCAACCTAGCTTTCAGTCGCCGACGCCCTTCTCACCTCCTTGTGAATTGCTTCGAGATTGGCACTGTCAATTCTCCGTCGTAGGACCTGCTGCTTCTGTTTTTGTTGCTGCTTGTTCCTGGCCCCCAAAGCAGCTAGCAGCCTCTTAATCGCGAGGCGTTCGCTGCTATTTTTGTTGTAAAGTGTTGCGGCCGTGCCGTGGCGGCCCATGCGGGCAGTGCGGCCGACGGAGTGAACGTACCTAAAGGATGAAAATGTGTCAAAAACAGAAAGAAAGAGGAATGCAGCTTGAGAATACACAGGTGGAAAGCAGGAGGTAATACATCAGACAGAAGAGACGGAGAGGGCATAACAACATAAGGCATATCAACAGGAGCAGCAAGAAGTAAATCAGGTAAACAGAAAAGGAGAACAACACAGCGCAACGAATCCGCCGACGCGCATGCGGACAAGAAAAGTTTCAGAGGGACAGAGATATCAACAGGCATCCACTGAAAGGTAAATGGAAAAAGATTGCTAGGACAAAGAATCGAGGAACAGGTCCACAGAGAGCGAATTGCGGAGACAGATAACAGAAAGCGGAAACCAAAGGTGGCGTGAGGACGATAAAACACCTTTCGACGTCCTTGGGAGGGCTAAAGTTAATAACGGCAGAAACTTCTGCCACATCCAAGCCCCTGCTAGCCAGTTCGCTTGCAAGTAGTATGTCAGCTGTTCCTTCCTCGAACCTGCAGCGCGAGCAGCACGGGTAGCAACACACACAGCAACCAAAGCAATCTCAACTACAGCGACGAGTGGACACTTACGAAGGAAACGGGAGAATGAACGGCGACTATGGGCACAGCAGCATCAAGGCAACTGATACTAGCATGGGGTACTGACAAGCACTGCAACCGACGCAGCTGCGAGACTCCCACAGGGGATGGAGCAACGAAGCAACAAAACAAAGCATAAGAGCATCGGACCAAGCACATGCACAAGACCCCGAAACGGTTGCTAATGGACACGAGAGCCAAAACTGTTACGTGCTGTTGCAGCGCCCTTGCCACTACGCTGAATAGAGTGGCTCAGCCGCAAGTTCAGGGCAAAGCCGGCTGGAAACCCTGGTTCCACTAGTCTTCAAAATATAATGGGTCTACCCTGCGTCGAAGATACAGCTATTTTGACAGCTGCAGCGGGGTTTTCTGCAGAATGAGATGTTTGGCCACATGCTGGTTCGTTTGGGCAGCACCATCGACCAGCGGTAAAAGCAGAAGCAACGTCCCTTTGCAGGCATCAACACCTAACAATACATTTAAATCTTTGTCTCTCACTTGGCCAATGAGTCTGCCCTCATTTGCTGCGTTAGGTCGCCATGAAGCTCCGCAGCCGAGAGACCTAGAAAAGAAAACAGCAGAAACGCCTCATGCGCCGCCTTTTTCGTCTGAAAAGAAGTAAAGAAACACAGCACAACGGTTCGCACCTACACCTGCTGCTGCCCGTCTTGCTGCTTAAGCTGCTGCGAATAATTATTGCAGCTAGCTTGCTGAGGCCCTGGATGGTGGCAAACCAGTTGGCGCTCACCCCAAAAAAGACAATAACTCTGTGCTTGAAGGCAGTCCTGACAAGATGGACAAGGGCGGGCAAGCGCTGCTCTTCTCCTTGAAGCTCTACAAATTGTTGCTGCAGATTTTCAGGCAGCTGTTGCTGGGGCTTTTTGCTGCTGTTAATGCCGCTGCTGCTGCTGCTGCCGCGGGGCTCGCAAGTGATATGCAGGGGAGACTGGAGCGCCAAGAGTGCGAGAGAAGATATAGACGCAGAGAGAGTGGCAGAAAACAGCATCGTCTGCCGCCCACGATGGCAGTGCCGTAGCACTTGCAGGATCTGTACAGGCCCCGCATCACCCAGAGCAGACACAGGCGCTCAGCTTGAGCTCTTTAGCTAGCTACCAGCTAGCCAACCATACGCTGGCCAGTTGCATATCCAGCTGGCTGACTATCTGGCAACAGCAAGTAGGGGGCACGTCTTGCGGACTTGGTCCCTGAAACCCAACTCTAGCAACCGGTCAGCCTCGTCAAGCACAACAACCTCCAGCAGTTCCAAATGAATGCTCTGCGCAGCAGCAACAGCAGCAAGAAAAGCAGCAGCACAACCAGGAATTAAGGCGAAACGCTTAGGAGGAAAGAAGGTAGTGTCTGTCTTGGCCGCAACTAGTTGCAAAAAAACATTGCAGGCACACTGAGGTGTGCTGCGCAGGCCACCAGCGGGAGCAGCAGCAGCAGCAGCAGCCGTAACTGTTCTTGGTACATCTGCTGCCGCTGCTGTATATATTTACGTACAATGGAGTTCAGAAGCAAGTCTATGATTCGCCCAGGCGTGGCCACCACAATATCTGGCTGCATCCGCAACGCCGTTTCCTGCTGAGACAGAGTCACACCTCCCACCGCCTGAAAGAAAAAACACAAGACCAGACGCGTTGAAGAACAAATATGAGGCAGTCAAACCATAAAGGCAGGGAATAATCAATCAGCCAAAGCAAAAAAGCAGACACATTGTCACAGCTGAGCAGGTAAACAGGCGAACAAAGCAGCGAACCGAAAGATACGCAAAACACAGGCACCCAGATGCAGAAGCAGGAGTGGTGGAAAGCATCCGCTGCAGCAGCAGTAGCAGCAACTGCAGGGAAGCGCACAAGAGTCGAGGTGATCGGCGCAAACTTGCATAAGTCCTGCAGCAGCTGGTAACACTGCATCGCCAGCTCGCGGGTGGGCAGGAGCACCAAGCCTTTTGAGCCCCGCAGGCCTCCAACGGGACCCGTGGGTGTCATCTGAGTGTGATAAGACGCACACGCGCAAGACTGCGACGCTACCATGGCCGAAGCTGCTGCTGCCGCTGCTGTTACTGCTGCAGCTGCTGTTGCCGCTGATGCAGCTGCTACTGTCTACACTGCAGTGTGCGGCTTCATTTTTCCTAGACGCTGCTTAGCTAGCGGTCTCTAGCTAACTGCCAGTCCGGGTGTTCCGAGTCTAGGAAGCTAGTCGGCAAGCAAGCTGGCCAGGTAGAGCCTGGTGGCTAGCTAGCTAGCTAGCTAGCTGGCTGGCTAGCTAGCTGCGCCTGGACCTGCCTTTCGAGCTCTGACTCCTGGGCTCTGCAGAAGGCGCTCCAGAAGGGGCAGCAAGAAAGCCGCAGTCTTTCCTGAGCCTGCAGAGCAGCGGCAAAGGCCCATTTCAAATTCCCACATACAAATCGCCCAGCCCATCCTCCCAAGCCCAAGTCCTAAACCCTGTTCCCTATGTTTCACTCCCCCCACTCTCTTCTTGAACACAAGGCCACCAGCCCCTGCCGCCAGTGGAGGCTGCAGGGCTCTACAGCCTACAGCATATAATGTAATTCTTCAAAGATCCTGTACAACAAAAGCTCAAAAGGCTCAGACCCCAAGTGCCAGCTGCAGGCCTCACCCGTCTGGGCATTCACGAGGAGGTCCCGGCCCCGCAGCGCAGCAGGAATGGCAGCTGACTGCACGAAAGAGGGGTGGGCGTAGCCGAGGGCATCCAGAGCCTAAGACGCAGCCCCGCACGCATTTGTTGACTTAGTGGTTCAATTCATATTTTGTTGAAACTCTAAACCCTAAGCTAAGTCCCAGCTCCATACCCAAGTCTCTACATGTCGCCGCAGCAGCACCGACAACATATTTGCTGCTGCAGGCAACGCGGCATGTAGAGGCGACTTCAGCAGCAGCAGCAGCAGAGCAGCAGCAGCAGCAGCGAACGCAGCAACAGCGACAGCAGGGCGTGCCTTAAGCAGTGGTCGGCTCAGGTACAGATCCGCCCAGTTTGTCTCGACGTCCAACAGCACATTGCTGCTACTTTGAGGGGCTCTGCTGCTGCTCCCCTTCTGCTGCTTCTTCTGCTGCTTCCTAAGGGAATCATCTTCTGAAGAATCTGCAGACACAGGGCCCTCAGGGTCTCCCGGACCCTCTGGGGCATCTTCTTCTGTAGATTCCCCGTCTTCGTCTAAGCAGCCATCCGACAGCTCCAGCTCGCCTTCACCCGCAGCTGCATTCTGCTGCTGCTTCTTCTGCAGCAAAATATCGTCTTCGCTGTCACTTTCCGAGGCAGAGAAGACCCGTTTGCCCATTTCGCTGCTCTGTGGGGCCCTCCGAGCCTGTGGGGCCCCAACCGTGCTGCGTTTCCGTGATCCCATTTCGCAGTCTACGTTTCAGCGGAGCCTCTTTGCTCCTTTACTGTGCGGGGTTGAAGCCGCAGGCTAAAAGAGCTACAGCAAGCGCAGCACTTGCTGCTGCAGCGGCCGATGGCTGCCGAGGGTACAGTTTAAGGGCAAGAAGGGGCCTGTGGGGCCCCCCCCAAGATCTCTACAAAACTGAAAGATGATTCAAATTTAAAAGTTCAGAGGTTCCCATTTGTAGTCTTCTGCACTTTCCCCTGAAGAAGACCCCAAGCCTTTGACTGTCCCGAAGCGGCGACCAGTCACGCTTCGGGCGACTGAAGGCCGCTGCCGGCCTCCCAGCCCGCCCTCAGTGTCCTCCCGACTCCACTTTGCATTGTTCAGCTTCATGCGAGCTAAATGTAACTTTTAAGGCGCTAATCAAGTGCTAAAGCCAGCGAACTAACTCTGCACTTGAGGGCCCCCAGCGCCGCTGCGCACAGGCCCCCTGAAGGGCTGCCTGGCGCTCAAGTACGCTGGGATCCTCTCCAAGCAAATACAACTGCAGTTTGCCCTAGGCTGCTGTGTTTGTGTGCCGCCGCCGAGCCTCTAGCTGCAGCTTCTGCTAGGGCCCCCGGGCGCCGTCGCCCTGCCTCCCCTGCGGGTGTCTGAGATGTGTGTATGAGTGTGTCTGCTAATTGCAGGAGCCTCGTGAGGCTCCTTTGAGTTTTGCTGTCGCTGTTTTGTGTCAGCGTGTTTTGCCATTTGCCTCCGCTGCTCTCCCATGTCTCCTAAGGCACTCTAGCTGCAGCGCTGGAATTCGTTCTTAGTTGCTGCTGCTGCTCCACTTAAACGCCAGCAGCAAGACAGGCACCCCCTCCGCTTTCTCTCTGGCCTTTCGCTTCCTTGCGCTGCTGCTGCAGAGTTTTGTGCCCTCCGCTGCTGCAGCAGCGGGCTGCAGCAGCAGCACCGAGTACGAAACTCCGCCGCAGAAGGGGTCTGCTGCTGCAGCCGCTGCAGCTGGGGTGCCGACCGCTCCAGCCGCTGCTGCCTCCCCTGCTGCAGATGCAGCCGGCCTACTCTTCATACATGGTGGGCGCGTGCTGCAGCAGGAGCTCGGAAGTGCCGGGCTGGAGGCGGCACTGGGCAATTCGGCTCAAGTAAGAGGCGGGCCCCAAGCAAGAAGCAGCAGCATAAATAGTGCCATAGGGGGCCCCCACAGCCCCTGCTGGGGTTGTTGCTGCTGTGGAGGCGTCCACAGAGCTCTGCAGCTTCGGCAGCCCATAAACAGCCACCTCGTGCTGCTGCTGCCGGTCTGCTGCTAGCATGTACTCCGCCGGCACCCCAAATGGGAGGGGCCCCCAATAGGGGCCCCACTCCTCGCCAAAGGGAATTGCTGAGTAGCTAACGGGGCCCTCCCCAACCTCCACAGCATGCTGCTGCTGGTGCTGCTCCTGCGGCTGCTGCTGCGCAGACGTCTTGTAGCTCCTTGTCTCTACTGCTTCCGCAGAAACAGTGTTGGCCCGTGTGGAGCATGCGTAAGTGCCAGCTGCTGCATCTTGCTGCTGCTGCTGCTGCTGTTCGTAGCCAGAGAAGCCATGCTGCTGTCCTGCCGAGGTGTAGGGCCTGCGGCCGTTCCTCTTGTGGGGCCCCCCCGGGCCAGCTACACCCATCGTTGCGTCATTTTCTTCGACAGCAGCAGCTGCAGCA